TCTAATATTAATTTCATTAGTTTTATGAACTAACTTCTTTACCCATATTTCTTTACTCGCATCCGTTCGTAATGTCAGAACCTTTTCTTATTTGACACTATACTCGGGCGTCGGTGTAGCGGCCCTTGCACACTTTTCATTGTATTCAGGCTACACAACGCGTTGCTTCCAGTGCAGGGAACGCCCTAACACTTACACAAAGATCAAAAGGATTCATGTCATAATTTTTTTTCGACAAGTTTTACGTTGGCTGTCGACTATCTAACGTAACTCTCCACTTTTCACATCTGAGTTTGGGACCAACAATGACAGTGTTTGGCAGAGACCCAACCCAAATATCTATTTCCCATGCACTTTTTGGCCCCATGATGAGAGCCCACGCCATGTGCCTGAAATTCCAGAATTCTGCGTCACGGTGGGATCAAGCCCTTGACTTGACGGGACTTACAGTGACCCCGCCACTAACAGGCTAAGGCTTGCACGCCCGCGCGCGTACGCTTATACACACACACACAACTCTTCTGGTTAACGACAATATTGGAACATGAAAAGTGATTTTTCCATTAATTATGCCATTGCATATGATTTCCTTGATAACTCTCTATTGGTCGTAACAATGGAAATGAAGTCATATGTGATGGTGCAGAAATATGGACAATAAGTTAGGTTAAAACTAGGATTCTTACCTATAGAGGCTAGGGAACAACAACAAAGGTTTGGGGCTCGTCAAGTTTTGGTGCAATATCAATCACATGATCTCTTGTGCATGCTATGGCTCAACTCATCTTCATGCACATAATTGGGCCCCTAAGTTTAATTACATCAACTCTCCCAGACTCAAGCTCATAAGGAGGTGAAGGTTGTAATATTGATGGAGTTGGGACGGGAGTGACTTGTGGAGAAGTGAATGGATCCTTTTCATTTCCTCAAAGCATTATTCTACCTAGTTCAACATATAATAATAGTTTAATGTAATAGTCTTACGCTGGTTAAAAGAGGTAGTAGAATATGAGACGTTATGAGAGAGAAAAATCAAAGTGTATTAGCCCAAAGGAGGATTATATCAAGGATAAGACTACATATGATTGTCATTATATGATCTATAACATTACAACAACGACAACAACAAAAACATCAAGCCTTTATCCCACTAAGTGGGGTCGTCTACATGAATTAAGTGTCATTTTTTCTTTTAATTCTAATAAATTAAAATAATTTTTTATATATTATGCCCAAGTTTTTTTAGATCTACCTTTGCCTTTCTTAATATAAGTCAAATCTAAAACATCTACTCTTTTAACTAGATCATCAGATAGTTGACGTTTAATGTGAACAAACAATTTAATACGACTCTCTCTAATCTTGTCTGCCACTGGAGCTACACCAACCCTATCACAGATATATTCATTCGCATTTTGTCTCTAAGTGTCAAGCCACTCATCCACCTAGATATTCTCATCTCAGCAACACTTAACTTTGTTTTATGCTTCTCTTTTAAAGGCCAACATTCTGTGCCTTAGAGCATTGCAGATCTCACCACCATCTTATAAAATTTTTCTTTCAGTCTAAGTAGTAGTTTTTTATCACACAATAGGTCCGATGCATTCCTCCACTTCAACCAACCAATTTGAATTCTACCAATAACATCCTTATTTATATCACCATTGCTTTGAACTATAGACCAGAGATATCTAAAACGTTCACACCTTTTAATAATTTGATCACCCATTGTTACAATTCTGTCACTATAGCCACCACCAAAATTACATTCCATATATTCAGTTTTAGTTTTACGTAAATGAAGGCTTTTTTATTCCAATTTAGACCTCCATAATTGAAGTTATTTCTGAACTCTTTTTCTAGTTTTATCCACAAGAAAAATATCATCAACGAAAAACATACACCAAGGTACATACTCCTGTAAATGCTAGTGAGAGCATCTATAACTATAGCAACAAGATATGGGCTTAAAACCAATCCCTAATGTAATCCCAACTGAAATAGGAAAATACTTGGTCAATCCTCTTTTTGTTCGAACAGAAGTAACACCTCTAGTATATATATCTTTAATGAATTGAATATAAGTCATATCAACACCTTTCTTCTCCAGAACTCTCGAAAGGACTTTCTAAATTAATAACAATCATATGTAGATCCTCCTTATTCTTTCTGGACTTCTCTATCAAACCTTTCAATAAATGTATTAAATGTATAGCTTCCGTAGTAGATCAGCTCGACATAAATCCAAATTGATTATGAGAAATCTTTGTAACACGTCTTAACCTTTGTTCAATTACCCTCTCCCATAATTTTAAAGTATGACATATCAACTTAATTCCTTTATAATTTGCACATTCTTGTGCGTATCTTTATTCCTAAAAATGACTATCAATATACACTTCCTCCACTTTTCATGTATCTTCTCAAATTCTTAAAATAATATTAAAGAATTTAGTAAGCCAAGAAACTCCCAAATCTATCAAATATTTCCACACTTCAATTGGGGTATCATCCGGCCCCATTGATTTTTCGCCATTGCTTTCCTTTAAAGCCGCCTCAACTTTTTTTTACTAATATAATGGTAATAATAAATTTTTTTTATTATTAAAAATATTAATGTCACTAAGCTCGATCGTAATTTTAGAAACTTCATTGGAAAATTTATCAAAATAGCTCACCCACGTATGTTGAATATATTCCTTTAAGAAAAAAACTTATTGATTTTTATCTATAATATACTTTACATGAATTATATTTTTCATTTTCTTTTTTTTTTACTAGTTTATACATATATTTTTTTACCATTTTTAATATCTAATTTATTATAGAAATCACTAAAAGCAGAATTTTTAGCATAAAAAAAATGTTCTTTTAGACTCCCTACGGGTCATCTTATATTTTTTCTAGTTTTCTAAGTTTTTACAATCAAACCAATTTTTATAGCACAACTTATATTTTATCATTCCTTGCACATTATTATTCCACCACCAACTATTTTTATTTATAGAAACTCTTTTTTTTGATTTTCCAAGTATATCTTTTGCCACATATTTAATAGTATTTATTATTTTATCCCATATAAAATTTGCTTCTTCATGAAATCCCAAATCTTGAAATCTTGAAGTTTACTCATAAAAATAATTTCATTTGTCTTTTAGATGCATTCATCAAATTCTATGACAATGATTTGTAATATTCTTTATCTTACAACTCATCTTCTTAAAATCCAAAACAAATAACGAGGTTGAGTACTTAAATTCTCACTTGAAATGACTTTACAATCTTTATATTCTCGACGATCTCTTTTTTTCACAAGAAAATAATCAATTTGTGTTTTATTAGATTCATTCTTATACTCTTTTCAAATAAAATATTAGCAATAACAAAATAATACACCAAAGTAAAATCTAATATGACTATCTTCTTCATTAATCATTCCAAAATCGCAGCCACCATAAAAATTTCTAAAATATTCTACCACTCTATCAACATGTCAATTTAAATCTCTAATAAAAATTCTTTCTTCAACATGTATCATATGTATTATTTCTTTTAGGCCTTTCCATAATTTTTCTTTAGAAACTATGTTCAAACCTACTTGAGGAGCATAATCACTTATAACATTAAAAATATTAGTATCAACAACAATTTTAAGGGCTATAATTCTAGCTTCAATTCTATTAATTTTTACAACTTTATCTTTCAAACTCTTATTTATAAGTATATATACCATTTCTAGTGCGTTTTTACTTGAATACCAAAGTTTAAAACATATGCTATTAATCTGTTTAGCCTTTTCTCCAACCTATGTTGTTTTTTGAACACATAAATGTTTATCTTTCTGCGAATCATAATATCAACTAATTTCATTAATTTTTTTATGAGAGTTCTTATATTCCACGATCTTATCTTAATATTAGTTTCATGGACTAACTTTTTTACTCATATCAGTCTGTAATATAGGAACCTTTGCTTATTTCACACTACACACAGACACTGGTGTAGCGATGCTTAAAAAACTTTTCATTGTATTTATGTTATAAGGTGTAGCGTCGCTTCAAGGAGACGCACTAACATTTACATAAAGATCTAAAGAAATAATGTCATAATTTTTATAAATTTTATGCTGGGTGTCAACTACCTAATACAACCCACCACTTTTTATATCTGGGGCTTAGGACCCGGCAATGACAGTGTTAGGAAGAGGGTAAATTTTGATGTATTATGATCTATAGCAATGAAAATATAAAATCTTATGTTTTGACTGGTATGTTTC